ATAACATGAATGTATTTAATGAGAACGAAATAATGAAGCTTGAAAAATAGTAGAAAAAAGAAGGAAAAAATTTCGCTTAATACATTACAATTTTGGCTTTAACATAAAACTTAAATTTGTTTAAAAGAGAAACGAGAAAATTTTTTTAACACACACACACGCACACACACACGCACACACACACGCACACACACACGCGCACACACACACGCACACACACACACACACACAGAGTGATGGATTTACACATTTTTGCACCCTAAGCCCTGTACTTCTTGGCGCCCTTTTAAGACCTTGGTGTTCCTTTCAAATGAAGAATAAAAAAAAGTATCAAAAGATATCATTTTTTCACCAAAACGTCAAGATTTTATTTTTGTGTGTCAAAGCACTACTTCAAAGTGCTATATTGGCAAAAATGCGTCACAATTGACAATCCTACACAAATATAAAATTAACTTTCCATTTGTTCTTTTTCGAAGAATTCTATCCTAGTTCTGAACTATAATGCAATAGAATGAAACAAACCTGTCTCTAACTTACCACTCTAACTTACTGCATCGATGTACACCGATGTTCAGAACTTATTGTGAAAAAAGAACAGATCTTTTAATTTTGGTCTCTAAAAGGATGACACTCTTGTGCTCCTAAAAAGATGGCGTCCTTAGGTCCCTCGTGAGCCTCTAAATCCGCCGTTGTGCGCGCGCACATACGCACACACACACACACACACACACACACACGCGCGCGCGCGCGCGCGCGCGCGCGTAATTTTTTCAGACGTATCTTATCCTCATTAGATTTTTGATCGCGTATTTATTGATTAAATATATATGCACGATAAGATATATTAATACATCTTGTACGATTTATAGAATAAATCTTAGCCGCAATTTCTTCTATTACAGAGTATTGCGAAGATTTCTTCACTCTGACATGCCTGGCTCACCTGTGCCCGCGCCATTGACCAGAAGAAAATTCATGAGCCATTGTCAGCAATTGGTAGACAATCCTGGTAAATTGAGCAATGAATTTCGGCTGCTCCAGACACTGAGCGTCGATTTGCAGATGCCCACAAATTCAGCTTGCTTGCAAGCTAATCGAAAAAAAAATCGTTACTCCGATATTTTACCATGTACGAACTTGTCTTGCAATTCACTCACGCATACTTACAACTTGCAGCAACTATTATATACGATTTATACTTTCAGATGATTTCTCAAGAGTAAAGTTGGATGTAATAGATAACGACCCTAATACGGATTATATCAATGCATCATTCATAAAGGTAAATATTTTACATACGCACATGTGTGTTAATCCGATAATTCCTCTATTAAAAACTGAAATAATTTTTTCTTAAATAAAAATTTCATAAATGATTCTAAAAAATATAAATGAAAACATGATTTTAAATTGCATCTAATTAGAAGAAGAAAAATTCTTTTATGAATTGGATCTTGGAACATGCAATTTCAAAATAATTTTAAAAAGTTCAAAATTATGTTAAAGGAGAAATCATCTCTATTTTTAACAAGAATTATTGAATGTCCTAGACAAATGAAAAAAATATGAATTTATTTTACATCAGGGATATACAGGAGAAGATGAATACATAGCTTGTCAAGGTCCAAAAGAGGAAACTACTTATGATTTCTGGAGAATGATTAATCAGTACAACATTAATATTATAGTTATGCTGACACAGTTAGTCGAGAAGGGCAAAGTAAATTACAATTATCGATAATAATTAGCATAATGTTAATGCAATTTATCGTACATTAATCTGCTTTTCAGGAGAAATGTCATCAATACTATCCGATAACAGGAGAAATATTTCGATATGAAGACATGATAATACGATGTACAAGTGAATTGGACTTCAGAACACATACCCAAAGAACACTTGTATTACAAAAGGTATCTTTTTTAATATGAATAATACACATATATATGTACTTACAAAATTTTTTATGAAAAAACATTTGTAAAAAGTACAAATAATTACAGGAAAATAAGAAAAGAAATATTATTCACTTGCACTTTAAAGACTGGCCCGATCACGATGTCCCAGAAGATTTTGATCCAATGATCAATTTTTGCCAAATAATGCGCCGCAATATTATCGCTAACAAAAGTTCCGTCGTTGTTCATTGCAGGTATGAACAAATTGTCTACGAACAGAGCTGTTTTGCATTTTACAGTTTCAATCATAACGATTGTTGTTAATTCATTTCTTCTTAATAATAGAAAATATCATTTCTTTACAGTGCAGGGATTGGTAGAACAGGAACATTAATAGCGATAGATATACTTCTGCAACAAATTAGAGATAATAGAAAATTAGATGTATTTGGAACTGTGTATAGATTACGACATCATAGAATAAATATGGTACAAAGAGAAGTAAGTGATTCATAGTTAAATAATACTAACATAAATTAGCAAAAAAAAAATTGTAATTTATATTTCGATTGGATAAGAATTAATATTGAATATTAAAATTTAAGAAGTTGCGAAAAATCAATGTTTTTATTAAAAAATAATTAATTCGACATTTCATCGAGTCCATATGTTACATATTTGTTTTCTTTTTATCAATTAAAAACTATTATATACATTAGTACTTGTATAAATTCGTATAATATATAATATAAAAAGAACATTTTTTCAGAGTCAATACGCTTACATATATAATTGTATAAAACAAGTACTCAAGAACCCTTATTTCTTAAAAACTTGTAAGTATCCTTTAAAATACTATTCTTATTCTGATATACTTCTTCAGAAAAACTTATATTATCTTGCATTCTCATAGACAAACCACCACCAGTTGAGCCAATATATGAGAACACTCCTAAGAAAGCCAAAGACACAACAAATTCAGACACAACTCTAGTCAACAATCTTGAAATATGTATGTTTTATATATTTAATATATATATTTTATTCCCTGTAGCAGACTAGATATTTTCTTTAGTTTTATGGTATTATTAATAGTATAAAGAAAGCACGATAGAAATAACACTAATCTATTTTGTACTACAGAATGAGAGTCTCTCCAACTATTTAATACGTGATGAGGTAGGAACAAAATGCTTGGATCGCGTTGTTTTTTCCCGCTTTGCATTTCCCTCTTGCTTTACTTATATATATTTCTCACTATTTCGTGTATTTATTTAATATCATTCAAGCTAAACATATAACATTCATTGCTTCTCTATGTATGATTTGAGAATAATTTTGCAGCTGATATATGCTTGCTATGAATTGAACATAATGCAATATGGAACGAATAAATTGTATTTTAATTAGTGAATGATTATTTTTGGCATTATATTAAAAAGCAAAATTTTATTGTGGTGTTTTTTAAACAACTTTTGTAAGCTATAATTATCGAACTGCTTTTTTGAGTCAGTTCTATATTGCACAATTGTTTATATCTTTATCTAATTATTAAACCTTCTAATATACTGCATGATTAAAATTATTCCAGTAAAAAAACATAACTCCATATCTCTGGAATCAATCGATACTCTCTTTTCTCGATCCACTTCAAGCATAAGAAATAGCGGTAAGACTGAAATAAAATCTCATGAATTTAAACTATAAGTACATATTAAATATATGCTGTATCAAAAATGGCAAGAAAACATGATGTTTAATATTATCTGTTTGAAATGTCATTTATATAATGGAATAGATTTTATCTTATATAATTTTATTTTAAGATCTGAGACAATGCAAATCAATGGATGCCTTAAATACAAAAACTCATCACATACCTATAGGTAAGAGATATCAGTACATGTGTTACACACACACACACACACACACACACACACACACACACACACACAATTTTCATTATAAGAATGATTCATTATAAGAACGAAGTTAATTTTCAGAAAAATCCCGCACTCTGAATTGTATTTTTAAACCATTGAGGGATTCATACAAGTTAATAAATAGAGAAAGTTTAATACAGGAGTGTATTCCATTAATAACTTATTCAAGTCCAACTGATGTACTTGGCAATAGTGTACAACATGTAACAAATAGTAAGTTTCTCTCTCTCTCTCTCTTTATCTCTTTAATTTATGAAATTTACATTGTACAAATTTTTCATTATTTTAAATAATTTACTAAATCTATCTATTTTGCAGCTATGTGAGAGACGACTGAATTGTTTATAATTATTCACATGTTAAATTAATTATTAATACTTAGATGTTAGACCAAAGTGTACACTGTAATTACATGTAAATATAATTATCTTGATAAAATATAAGATAGAAATCTTCTATAAGATAGAATTGATATTGTATACTTTACGTACCATTTTTTTATAAATAATTGCAATTTTATGTATGAATATTTCTATATACATATGAATATATGTCAGACGCCAGAATACATTATGTGATATCGAAATGTTTACCAATATTATTGCTTAACATATGCCTTAAGAAAACTAGTCCAACTAGAAAACAGAGATTTTTAAGTAACAGAGATGGATATTAACTAAAACGTACATTTAGATATGAACCATAAACAAAATAGTAAAAATTTTATAAAATTCTTTAAAATATATGTATTATTGATAAGTTATCGTAAATATGTACACTTATTCATATAATTTATACATTTTGTACTTTATGCTTATTTTATCTTATATTAGGTGTGGGAAAAAGTTCATGGCATTTTTCCCATTACATCTAAGAAAAACGAACTTTTTCTCACACCTAATATTTATTTTTAAAATATGCACAATATAAATTACAACGAAACTTACAATTATCCATTCAAAATCAAATTCATCTAGCTTCTTTCATCATGTAATACACAGTTGAGATTTAGTTGCACATTTCGGCCAATTTTCGCTTGATTCGATGGCCGATCAGTATTCAGATTGTACGCGGGTTGATGAAGTAAAAATAAAGGGCAAGAATCAAGCTGAAAATCAGTCGAAATGTACAACTAAATCCCAGCTCTAATGTAATGTATTGCCTTGAAATAAATATAGCATTATTATCTATCTCCAAAATACAAAAGCGTTATATATTTCATATATTTTACAAATAAATTAATATCGATATTTAGTAGAATAATCTTTAGGAGAGACAACTAAACCACGACCTTTCCTTGCACCTCTGTAAACTGTTTCAATAATGTCGATCATTTCCTGTTTGTCCTCAAGGGTCCAATTTATTTTGTTATTATTTCCAGTACCTAAATCTATCATGATGTGTTTATTTCTGAAGAAGAACATTACTGTACATGGGTCATACAGTTCATACCTGTAAAAAAGTATATATTGTGTATATTTTTGTATACGTTATATATATCTTTGTATACATTATTGTTAAAATATTGTTAAAATATTATATCACTAAAATTTATTTCAATGATTAATCTTAATTAACTTAAATAATAGATTTTATTTATTTTTTGAAGAATTAATTAAATTATTGATTAATTATTGATGCAATATATGGATCTATAAAGACATAAGTTCCTACTTACATTTTATTAAAATCTGGCACTTTTGTGATATCCACCAGATAAATAACAGCGAAGTTCTTGACTTTCTCCGCGATATTATAAAGTACTTCATCCATTTTCATACACATCGGATCCCAATCATGTCCAAAGCGAATAACCTAGAAAGAGAGAGATACTATTTTTAACGCATGAGTTCTAATTCTGTTGTAATTGACTTAATGTTTATTTATGTATAATGAGAAATAAAGTGAATGAATGAAACCTATTGAAATAAACTCACCACGACTCTGTCTTCTTCTGACAGAATGGCTTGATCGACTTGATAGCCGTTTTCCAAATGCGATAGCATATAAGACATTTTGAGATGTGTGAAGTACAAAATTTGCGATTACAAAATGATATTATTTCGTTTGTGTTTGTGTCAAAGTAATTAAAAATGTTGTTTAAGGTTAAGAAACGAACTGTCTAAAGTCACTAGATTTATAAATGTCACTACTTACGACGCCAAAATCATTTTACTTGCACTTTTAGCACTCGGATTCTGCGCTTTCATTTCATGTTCTAGAAATTTCTTTAATTCTTTCTGTACTTTTCATCTTTTTTTTCTTTATTTTTTATTTTCTTTCTTAATTATACAATTAACTTATTTCAAGCGCAGGTATAAAGAACAGACGTCCAAAAGTAAAACGTCAATTAATGGAAAAATGAGAAAAACTGCTATTGTGAAAGCACATAATTTATTGTAAAAATAATTTATTGTAAAAAATAGAACTGTAATGTTTTACTTTTATACTATGGAATAAATAAAATAATTATTTTTTACATCTGTATGGAAATACAAAGTATGTAAACAGCAGAATAAACAATACTTATGTTTTGGAATTAAGCAGATCTATGTATGCTTCCGCGATTAAGTCATCTTTTTTTATAAACAATGTTTGCATGAGGTCATCAGCAATCTTCTGTCCAGTTATTATATCCTGATCTTCTTTCAACACTACCTGTATTTATCGATATTCCATATTATATTACTGATCTTTATTGATATACAGTTATATAATAAATAATTTTATACAAACCTCTAATTCTATAAAATTACCCAAACCATCTACTTTGTCAATATGTATTCGAGTTTGTCCAGCAATGAATAACAGTCTCGTTTTTTTAACAACTCCTAATATACCATTAGATTGAGTCAAAATACTTCCAATTGACTCAACAATATCTGAGTTTAATGATACTTTGTCATAAGTGGACAACTTTGGTCCAGAAACATCAGGTCTCTTATACAAGATTAACTCTGCAGTACCATCCTAAGGGACAAGAAAAAAATTGGTATTTAGATGATAATATTATATAATTATACTTATAATTGAAAAATTTAATAATTGTTCCAACCTTAAACTTTCGTAATTTCAATCTTCCTTCTTTTGTCTTGAAGAAGATATCATGCTGCTTGATTTCAGTTTGAGCTGTGTCACTCAGCTCTGTAGCTTTTGAAATGGTATGTTCAATATCTCGAATTACAGCTTTGATCTCAATGTTACGCATGATTATCCTTGGAATCCTCTAAAATTTACAAAAATTTATTGACTCATTTTATTTTTCAGAATCTCATCATGTTTCTTATCTTGTTTAGATTCTTATCTTACATAGATCTATTTGCTTTGCTTGAAACCCTTCAAAATTTTTACACTTAAATGAGACAAATATATATATTCGAGCGTGGAAGAGAAAGAAAGCAAAGATGCTTAGTGCAAAACGTGCAAGAAGCGTAAACAGATCTATGTATTATCTTACAGATTTCTGTACATTCAGCTTATAATTATAAATCATAATTATAAATCACAATCTGATAAAAAATATTCTAGCCAAAAAGTATATAGACTTTATTTTTTATTTATACATTCATATATTATTTGAAAAATCTCCTTTTCTATACCTATCTATTGTATCTAACTTGTTTACTTTTTTATCAAACTAACGTCGAACACTTGACAAACGACCGGTACTTTCAAATGAAAATAACCACAATAACCAGAATAGGGAATTTTTGCAGTACCGGATTTCTATTTCTAGGGTTTTTAAACGCGATGAGTGATGATATCCAATGAAAGCTCTGTTTTATCTCACGTGACAATGCAAAGCAGAGCTCTCATTGGATATCGCTCATTGTTCATCGCGTCCAGTGTACAATAAGCTTAAGTGTACTGCAGTCGTGGACGGACTAAACCAGACTCGGCAGTAGATAGTGGATGGGTGTCACGGGTGTCACGTTTGGAGCAACGGAAAGAGAAAGTGAGCACTGGTGGACACTGTACAGGTAGCAGCGACGAGGTGTGTCGACGAACGGGCGACGAATGTCGAGATTTCTGAGTCTTCGGAGGAGATGCGCGTCCCAGGGGACCGCAGGGCAATGAGTAACGACGAGTCGGCCGGAACGCGGGTCATGAGTAACGCAAAATGAGAAGAACGTTTAACGCCACGGTGGAGGCCCGAACAACGGACTGCCTCGAAGTCACGAGACGTCTGCACAAGTAAGCCCCTCCGTTTCTCTGCGTAGAAATAAAATACTCTATTGTGAAAGTATTATTTTTTATCTTTACTGTGATAAAAAAAAGAGATACTTTCATAACGATCTTGAAGAAACAAAGGGATTTCGAGAAACGTGAACCTAACCCGTCGTTGTCTCAATCGCCATGCTTGTTTCTCATTCGCACGTTTCTCGATGAATTTTGCGCGGTTTCCGATATATTAGATATATATATATAAAATTGATTCATTCTTAGTTGAAAAAACATCTGATTAATGCATTTGTACTTTTAACATTGGATATGATAATAGATTATCTAGTAAATGAAAAAAATTGTACAGTGAAATGTGTATCTTTGATAATGACCTTCACATGTGACACAAAATATGCTGGTTCACTTTTTAAATGTGCATTTTATTATTTGTTTTGTTAAGAAGCGTGACAGAGATTGTTAAGAAATTGGATGAGCAAAAGAATCGTGCCCTGACAGTAAGCGACATATTTCTTTCATCTGGAAAAATTCAGCGTATGAAACTTAAAGATTATTGCGAGAGACTGATATTAAAAGACCCTATTGGAAATGTGCATAAAATAGAGGAGCTTCTCTGGAGAAAGGCCTTCTATGATGTTGTATACACAGCTAAGAAGTTACGGAAGGTATTTATAATGTAATATATTAAAAATTGAAGCTGATAATAAGTTTCTTGCCTGAAATCTCATAATAGTGATTCAGGGTTCTGAATTTCTTTATTTTTACCTCTAAACCATGAAATTCAGAGAATCTCTAAATCATGAAATTGGAAACTATGGTTCTACCATTATCTTCCATTCACGCTATTTACATGTATCTAATATATCACATGTGGAAGAGATTTTATATATTTGCGAGTAATATATATAGAAATGAAAATATATATATATATAT